CGCGGCCCCGGCCCCGGCCCCTGGCCCCGCATCGGTACCGGCAGCGGCATCACCCGGCTCCTGCAAGCTCTCACCCCCACCCCAGTGCCGGGTCACCACTTTGTGCCTGCTCCGAAAGACAGCAGCCACTAGAGCTAGCGCTGGTGAGCCATTGTTAGGTTTCAGAGTTAACACAACTGCCAGCAGAGGCTAGTAGGTCCTGTGCCAGCCCTGCTGTCTGAGCAAGATGGCAGCATGTCATCTCCCTGTCTGATGGAGGGTAGCCTTTTCCATGAGCTCACTGGGAGCTCATTTTAATGTGGGACAGCTAAATGGCAGCCAAGTCGCACAGCCGAGGCCCTGGCACACCACCCAACCGCAGCCTCCATCGAGTCCTCCCTACGTGCAGAGCCCCTGCTGGGCCACGTACCCACTGCCTGCACTGGATTTTCTGCAAAAGAGGGTCCTGCTGCCAAGAGGGAGAGTTAAGAGCCCTACAGCTCCCCTTTGAGAATACTGCAAACATTCAGTACCAAAATGTATTGCAACTCCAGCAAATCTGTTCACGTTAATTAACAACGTGTTTCTAATGAATCCATCACTACCGTAGCAAAACCAAATCATAACAACTATGGCATTTCAGTTCTGCCTGAGAGATCTGTCCTGTCCTTCATGGCCTGCCTCAGGGAGGAGCGTCTCCACGAGCTGTCTGCAGGAACACGTCCCGGCACTGATCCCTACCCACGTCAGGAAAGCAAAGTCCTATCCGATCCCTAAAAACCGGAGGACCTGGAGAAATGTGGGGTGTTCTCTGGCTGCTGGGCCACCCCATGCCTGCAGGCTTCACTCTCAGGCTCTGCCCTTACTCAAGCAGTGGTGGAGGCAGTGGTGGAGGAGGTGACTTGAGGCAGCTCAGCCAGGAGGGCTGCCCACCTCCAGAACAGGAATATGTAGAGATTTGGGGGGACCTGGAGGTGGATTAGAAGTGACAAGGAAGCTACCCCTGTCCCTGTATATGATCCCCACACCATTTCTAAAAGCAAACAGGAGCAAGACAGGAAGGCGCTTAGCCTGGAAAGATTTCACCTACAACATTAAAAGCTTCATTTGTTTGTTTTAAATCTTCAGGTTTGCCTATAGTTACACCCTAACAAATGCTTTCTCAGAGTTTGACTACAGGTGGAAAAGCGTAAAAGTTAAGAAACTCAAATAAAGGTGTAAGCTCTCAGAGAAATTAAAGCATGTTAAACCCCATGGGGAGGCTGTTTTTCAGGTGCAAAGTGGCCTCAGCTTGCTGTACGCACTAATCCCTTTGCACACCAGGCTCCACAGACCCTGCAGTGCTGGCTCCAGTGCCCGTGGGTCACCGTCCCAGAATTTAATGATACTGCAATTGAGGGACATGGTGCTCTGCCACAGCAAAATGGCAACGAGAGGAGAGTTGGGTCAACGGTTAATAATGCTGCAGCGTTCAGACCTTAAGAGAATGTTTCAGCCGGATTTGTATATTAGCTTTTAACTACCCATAAAAAACCTACCCATTGCCCTGATACAAAGACTCATCACATTTCTTTCATTAACTCTGGAGAATAATGGAAATTTCAAGTTTAGCTGCCCCCAAACTCCTAAGTACTGGCAAAGAGGGTTACCAATAGGGCTAGAAGTTGGGCTTCATTCGGTTGTATTCAAAGTCCAGGTTTTTACCTTATACATCATTTATGTGGAAAAAAATCATGAAGGTTTATGCAGCAAAAAGTCCTACTAGCAATGGAAAAGACTTTCTCTCACGCCACTCACACCTGGGTCAGAGACTCAGCACACTGCCTATGGTGATGCTGAAGGCCAAGGAAGAAGCACGGGGAATGGCGAGGAGTTAGAAAGCCAGATTACTCAGAAACATACACAAAATGAAACAGAAGATCTCTGGTGACCAAGCCCAGAGCAATGCAAGATAATGATTCCCATATGGGTGAAGCAATTCTCTGAAGAGAGATGGGAGAAGCCATGCATGCAACGTGTGATAAGCTTTTCTTTCACTTTCTTCTGCAAGTCTTCTTGCAAAAGCATGAACAATCCCACTGACTATTCAGCTTTGCTGATGTCCTTACATGGTACCCCTGCCCACTGAAAGAGCACGGTCATTTTTTGAGATGTTTTGTATTATTACAGGATTTTCACACACACACCCAAATCCCATCTTCTGTAGCAAGACAGAAAGCTATTCTTCTGAGCACCACAGCTACATACTCTCCTGCGGGCAGGGGAAGCTCTTGCCCCAGTACTCAGCTGGTGCCGAGGAGAGCAGCAGTAGCAGCAGCAGCTGCATGCTGGGCACCAGGCGCACGACTGCTGCGGCACACAGAAGGCAGTGTTAAGACAGTATCCCATCCTCACACGGTGAAAGAAGTGGTTCTCGTGCATTTCAATGGTGAATCCTGCCACTTTCTTGCCAAACAGCTTGAAAACAACTCTGCTGGCATCAGTACCTCAGCGGTTACCGTCTGTGATCAAAATAGGGGATCTTGGAGCTCACAGGGCTTTGACATCTGCACTGACAGACACCCGTGCCCCCCCTCCTAACGACTTAATAATGTCTACATACAGAGCTTAGGTATTCCTTACATAAAATGTAACGTGGCCAATGAACCTGAAGTGACACAGAGAAAACCTGTGGAGAAGATAAGCTGCAGGTATGAAACTCAGCCACGTTCAATCTGGTTTTAGTTTGCATATGCTTCAGAAGCACCTTATGGAGAATTTCACTCCGCAACTACTAGCTTTACTTTGGAGTATTTCAAAAATCCTAGCGAGATCTTACATCCTTGTGGAGTTATAGTAAACCACCCGGCTTTCATAAAAAAACAAAGCTACCAACCCCAGCTACAACTTGCAAAGGTAATCCTGTAAATGTACACATACACGTTGGCTGTAAATGCTGGCAGGGAGGACTTTGAAACAGCTCTGAGAAGAGTGAATTGAACTGTTGATCCTGGTCAGCCTCTCCAGCCTCCAGGACTCCCAGGCCGTGGAATCCGGTTAAAAAAAAAAAAAAATCGGGATGTCACAGAGTGGAGCATTTTTGCCCAAGTTTTCCATTTGCTGCTGACAACAGCTCAGCATTTTGGTCTCACTGTCTCATTGCCCAGCTCAGGATCTGTCAGCGGTGGCCTTTCTTTCCAGCCTTCCCTGGCAGGCAACCTTACAAGTCTGCAGCCCCAGCTCCATGTGCTGCTCCTTGCAGACAGGCAGCGTAAGATCAGGCAGCCGAAGGAGTCCTGATTGCAAGTGGGAAAGCAGTGAAGGCGGGAGGCAAGAGTCGGCACAGCTGAGCTGGGCTGCCTGGCGTCTGCCGTAGGAAAGGAGAGCTGCACTGCTGGGTGGATGTGCCAGTCTGCCAGTTCCCCTCGGCCACGGGGCTTCCCCCAGCCAAATCACTTCCAGAGCAAAGGCTGGGGCAGCAGAGCCACACTGCACCAACAGCATCGAGAAAGAAAAAAAAGACTTTTCAGAATAATCATTGTTAAAAATATCCATTGACAACATTTACCATCACACATTTTGTTCTTTGAGCCATGATGCATGCTTGGGCAGAGGTGAACTGGGCAGGATTAAAAGCATAATCATTTAATGAGCCCAGTACTTGATTTATATGTTTTGCTGCCATGTCTTCCAGCCCAGTGGCTGCGGAGTCAAGAGTACCTGCAGTGCTGCTCCTCTTTTGCTGATGGCAAAGCGTATGGCACCAGGATGGACCAGCAGCGGCCCAGCTCGTAAAGGAACATCACTGAGGGCCAGGCTGTCCACCTAAGCCTATAGGCAGAGCCTCTCGTATGTTGGTATCATGCTTCTGAGAGTGGACAGAGACAGGAGAGTTGGGTGTCAGTTCCCTCCTGAGCATCTTCTTCCCATGTTGCCAGAAAACAGCTAGTTCTCCAAAAGGACGGATAAGTGCGGAGACATGCATTGCCGTCCTGCCAGCAGCCCAACAGGGAAAATAACACAAAGCAGCAACAGGCAGGACTGACTCTCTACAAAGCTCTCCCCGATACTCTGGAGCCTCCCCTGAAAGGAGTTCTTGGGTGAACGGGACAAATCTCTCCCGCTAAGAAGCTGAAAAGCAGGTCGAAAGAATTTCCTTAGGGGGCTGGCCCTGTGCAGATAGTCTCTAGGAGCATCTACAGGATAACAGGCATCCCAGCTCCAGAGGAAAAACCATCCATTCAGTCTTAGGACTGGAACTCCTGT